GCAGAAGGCTTTTCCTTTCAGAACATGAACAAAGCTTTCCAGGTGCTCATGGAGCTGGAAAATCCTGTGCTCATATCCCTGGGCAAAGGGTAAGTCAAGGCCAGGGAGACCCGTTTGGGGCTACTTGGGAGACGCTTTGTGTTTCTCTGACCTAGATTATCAAGTAGAGGGGGAGGAGGCAGAAAGTGGGCACCATGTGACTTTCCCCTCGCTTCCTCCGTTCTCTTTCTTCCTTTCTTTGAATAATTTTTTAGGAAATTAAAATGCCTTGTCCTCAGATGCTGGTTGGTCAAGCTTCCATCTGGGCCCCAGGCTAGGAGAGCCTGGGGGCGTCTTTGCAGACAGAGACCCCGGGAAACCCCAGAGGCCAAGTGGTGCCTGTCCTAAGTTCGGAGCTAAGAAGGGGAAGGTCCATTTGCACTTGGTGAGAAGGCGTTGCTTAGCCTTGGAGGGTTTTTGTTTTTTTAATGACGGTATTTGTAGCACAAGGTACTGAAGAGTTGTCCCAGAGGACCCCTGAGCAGTGGGAGCTAGGTCTGAGGCATGTGGGACACCCTAGTCTGGGTGCCCAGCGTGTCGCTGCAGAGCACCGGCCCTGTTGGTGAGTTTGTGACCAACATTTTTTTCTGAGCCTTTAGTCCGTGCCCGCGCCATCTCTTTCTTCAAAGAAATGGCGTTGGTTATTTTTCTTAATATCTTTTCTTACCACCAAGATAGTACATAGTCACTGAAGAAAACTGAGAAAATGCAGAGAAGCAAAAAGAAGAAAACAATTATTCTCAGTCCCAGGGCACAAAGAAAATGGCTGTTGACATTGTGGTTTGGTTTCCTGGGCAAGTAGATAATTAGGAAAGTATGTATTCACAGCGGAATGCCTAGGTGGTATAAACAGTTAACGCACTCAGCTGTTAACTGAAAGGTTGGAGGTTCAAGTCTACCCACGTGACTCGGAAGAAAGTCCTGTCGAACGGCTTCTGAAAAAATCAGCCATTTGAGTACCCTGCGGAGCACAGTTCTACTCTGACACACACGGGGTCGCAGTAAGTCAGAGGTGATTTGATGGCAACTGGTTTTTTGGTCCTGAGGAGACCCCCGAGGAGACCCCTGAGGCACAACTCTGGCTGGCTTGTCTCACGCCTCGCCCCCCACACACACGTTTTCCTTCAGAAGTGAAGAAACCTGGGCTTTCTTAGGTCTAAATTTAGTCCTGGATGGGGGAAAAAATCCAAACATGCAACTTAAAGAAAAAACCCAATCAAAATTGTGTCTTTGATGCTCTCATTTTTAGAGTCTTCAGAGAAAACTGACTTCCACAAATCAAAATGAGATTTTTTAATATTTTCCTTTCTGAACTAAATCTGGGCTTGATTTTATAGTGCTGAGAATTTTTCTTTATTTCCAGGAAAATAAAAAGGCATCTAGAGGTCAACTGTTAGCTGAGAACATTTTTAGAGATAAAGAACATACAAGTGCCCAGGTTAATTCTTTTTTTTTTTTTTTTAATATCAAGGCCCTGGTTCTTCCCGAAACACATGAGATTTGGTGTGTTCATCTTTTGTTATGGGGATAACAAAGCTTCCGCAGCCCTGGCTGGACCCTGAGTGTTCTAGCCGCAGAAAGGAGCCAGTGGATGCTGGGGAGACGGGAGGAGCTGGGAGGAGCATCAGATGAGATTTTATGCTTTATTCTCCCACCGCTTCCGATTATTCAGCACAGCCTCCCTTCAAAATGACCACTTGACCTTTCCGAGAAGAGCCATTAACCTTCCAGAGTCAGCAGTGTAAACAGCTTAATTTTCTGACGGCGGCATGACAGAAGAAATTACAAAGCCAATTCCCACTCTCGGGTCCAAACAGATGCCAAATGTAAATCACTCCACTTCCAGGAGGAAGACACTGCCCGGTGCAGCCGCTCCTGCCTCCCGGCGGCACTTGGGCGGCGCCCTGCTCTGTCCAGGGCAGCCACACCATGGTGCCCCCCATCACCATGGTACCCCCCTCCGACGGCAGCTCCTCGCGGCTTCTCCCTGCTGCTGTGGAGCCGCCGATTCCTTTCGCTGATTTTTAAGCACCCAAAACATAAACCAACTGAGAACCCTTGTCAGCTGGAGAGCCCACTAAACCCTTGCCCACCACTGAACTTGTTGCAGTCTCACTAAGCTCATGGGGCAGTGGTGGTCCAGTGGTAGAATTCTCACCTTCCGTGCAGGAGACCAGGGTTCGATTCCCGGCCCGTGCACCTCATGTGCAGCTACCACCTGTCTGTCGGTGGAGGCTTGTGTGTTGCTAGGATGCTGAACAGGTTTCAGGGGGAGCTTCCAGACTAAGACAGACTAGGAAGAAAGTCCTGGTGATCTACTTCCAAAAAATCAGTCAATGAAAACTCTATGAATCCCAGCAGGATCAGTCATGGGGATGGCACAGGACTGGACAGTGTTTCCATCCATTGTGCATGGGGACACGTTTTATTTGTATGATAAACACTCTAGAATATTTTTAGTTACTAAAACAAACCTATCTTCTTTTTTCTTTCTTGAAACCTCTTTATTTGCTCATTTTTGACAGAGACAGAGCCACAGAGAAATATTTCTCTCCTGTGAGAAAACAACAGTGAGAGAGAAACAGCAACTGACTCTGAAGCTTAGAAAAGGGGACAGTAGGGAGTGGTGGGGTCTGTGGTGAACTAGAGCTAATGGAAGCAGTGTCTCCAGTTAAGCGCCCAGGAATGTTGGGCCTAGTACTGTCCGATTTTCCAAAAGAATTCAAGAATCTGGATATTTTATGTAAAATCTCCCAATTTTTAAACACAGGCTCAAAAAAAAAAAACACGTAAGAGCAAATGTGGGCCAACTATCTGCTCTAGAATGTAAGCGAGAGGTGGAGAGGACAAGGTCAGCCTGGCCAGGCTGCACTCCTGGCCCAGCCAGCACTTACCAGCCGGGGCCACAGCTTACTTCACTCCCTGGAGCCTCAGTACCCCCACCTTGGAAAACCACAGTGACGGTGCTACAGCTCACAGGGTGTGGTTAGAACTAAGCAGAACAGAGTACAGTATATAAAGTGCTTTGCAATGGCCAGTGGCCAGATAAAAAGCCCCTCCCTCAGCTAGTCCCCCAGTTGGCTGTGTTCAGAAGCCAGAAGTTCCTCGGCTGGACAACGCTTCCTCAGACATGGCTCCAGAATTGCTGCGCTGCTGGAGGAGCTGGGGAAAAGAATCGTCCATGCAGCTCTCAGAGTCCGTGCTTCTAAAATGCTCGTGCTGCTTCTGTAAGCAAGAGAATCAGTCCTCAGTACTTTCTCGAAAGCAACATGGCAAAGTATGTCAAGGACCTCAAAAATGCTCACTCTGTAATCAGCTCTGAGGACATGGCTGGAAATGCACAAGGGTGTTCATCACAGCCTTACTGTGGCAGACAATCAGCAGGGGCAGTTAAAAAGCTACAGCACACCCACACGATGGATAGCCATGTCTGTTTATCGTGTGGAAACATGCTGTTTGGAGAACAATAAAAAGTGAGTTACAAACTAGGCTGGGCTTGATACTAGTGTTGTGAATACAAAAGGAAGCCAGTTGCTGTCGAGTTGCTTCCGACTCATGGCCACCCCGTGTGTGTCAGAGCAGAACTGTGCTCCACAGAGTTTCCTGACCCATGCCATCGGGGTGGACTGGGGAGTGGCGGCCGGGGCCGGCCAGCTGGCTCTCGGCACAGCCCTGGGTTAGTGCAGCAGTCACAAAAGCAGTGAGACCATCCTGAGCATGCGTGCTCCTGGGCACCGAGCCTGCCCGGCCTCCAGTGAGATGGGGGAGAAGGAGTCATCTTCTCATAAAGCATCTGGTGCCCATACTGCTGGCACCTCGCTGACCTCTGGCTAATAGGAGCCGTGGCAGGGTGCTGTGGAACTAATGGAGTTTTCTTCTCCAGGCAGCAATTAGGGGTTAATTATTAGCAATTAGGGGTTAGCCACATGCTCTGCAGGCCTGCTGTCCTTTCCCAGAACACACGACACTTGTCTTTCTCTGTATTAGCAACTGGAACCATCTGTCCCACGGGCCCCTGTTAATCACTGTGGGGGGGGGGTCCCCACGAGGCTGGCAGCGGGCAGCGCTTCTGACTGAGCTTCCACCCACTGTGCTCTCACCCAGGCGTGGCAGCTGCTCACCGGGCTCTGAGCACTGACCTCCGTGGGCCGTGGTCAGCGTGGTGCCTGGACTGACCCCTCATTGTGACTCAGCCCTCTGAGGTCAGGAACCAGGCATGGCACTCTCTCGGCATGTCCCAAACCCCAGGCTGATGCCAACTTTGTCCCTTCCTTCTCTTTTCTAGACGCTACTACAAAGAGACCTCTGGCCTGATGCTAGACGTTGGTGCCTACATGAAGGCACTTGAGGTACCTGCCCTGGGGGTGTCCTGAGCCTGTGCAGACCTTCTTGGGGCCATCTGGGCACTTCCTGTCTTTCGGGAGAAGATCACGTGCTTCATTTCTGAGCGTTGAGCTGGGTGGACTGTCTTCTCTGGACCTTGGCTCCACCCTGCCCTCCTTCCCCCACTCACAGGCAGGCACCCACCTCTTCCTGCTCTTGTCCACTCTCTTGACTCAGGACTTTGCATCTGCATCGACCACCCTGCCTGGCTCCTGACCCTGCTCTCGTAGCACCTCACACTTGACGTGACCTCCCTGGACTCCTTCCCAGCTCCTTCCTCCAGTTTCTGAAGCCACCTGCTGCCATGTCCCCGTCCTGTCCCATTTGCTGCCCCAACCTGGAGCTCCTGTCCCAGGCCTGGCTCATGTCCACTCCCATCCACACTGCTACACCCTTAGGGGGAGGGAGGGACTGATGGGCAGTGGAGCCCAGGACCCCTCCCAGAGGGCCCGTGACAGAGTTGGAGGGTGGGCAGGGCAGAAGGAAGAGGCTGGGACGGTTGCAAGAACACGGGGTCAAGGTGGGAGCCCCCTTGGCTTTGCCCCCAGCTCCAGTCAGGCGGTGAGCTGAGGGTCGGGTGCCTGGTGCTGGGCACTCCAAGTGTCCTGGGCAGCCCTGTGTGGAGCTGTGATGCTCTTACCTATGAGATGTACTTCTCAGGCTCACATCATCAGTCCCGCCCCTTGCGGCCCCTGATCCCTGAGCACACATTTGGAACAGTCTTTCCTTTATCCCAGTCCCTGAGTGGTGTTAATGGTTTTCGCTCAACTACTAAAGTTTGGCGCTGCAGAAGAAAGACCTGGCAGTCTACTTCCATAAAGATTACAGCCAAGAAAATCATGTGGAGCAGTTCTACTCTGTAACACATGGGGTCACCATGAGTCGGCATTGACTCAATGACAACGGGTTTGGTTTGGTTCCTTCATCCACCCAGAGGGAGGCCGGCAACGCGGGTTGGGTGTGTGCCTGCTCCACGGCCCCAGACCCATGCCTGTCCTTCTCTGTTCCCAGTATGCCTGTGGCATCGAAGCCGAAGTGGTGGGGAAACCGTCTCCCGAGTTCTTCAAGTCTGCACTGCAGGAGATGGGCGTGGAAGCTCACCAGGTAGGAGGACACCTTGAGAAGTGCACGTGAGCGGCCGTCTGTCGCTGCAGCCGGGAAGCCCAGAACTTTAGCTGGGGGCCCTGGGGCTTGAAATGGGTTTGCAGGCTCACTGCCTGGACCCCTTAGGAAAGCTGATTTGAGTGGAAAGGGGACGAAAAGCAGGAAATGAGGTCCACCGAATGTTTTCAATCATTAAATTATTTCATTATGAAAGTGACAAATGGAAATGCCTTTGGCTTTTTCTAAGTGACTTTTTTTGCTTCTTCTCTGGAAACATAAGAATTGACAAGTTCTGTAAGTGTTTTGGAAACCCTGGTGGTGTAGTGTTTAAGAGCTATGGCTGCTAACCAAAAGGTCGACAGTTCGAATCCACCAGGCACTTCTTGGAAACCCTATGGGGCAGTTCAACTCTGTCCTGTAGGGTCTCTATGAGTCAGAATCAGCTTGAGGGCAGTGTTTTTTTTTTTTTTTTTAAATCAGTGTATTGGAGCCCTGGTGGTGCAGTAGTTAAGGGCTTGGCTGCTAACCAAAAGGTCAGCAGTTCAAATCCACCAGCTGCTCCTTGGAAACCCTATGGAGTAATTCTACTCTGTCCTATAGGGTCACTATGAGTCAGAATCAACTCAACAGCAGTGGGTTTGTGGGTTTTTTGTTTTTTTTTTAAATCAGTATATTAAAACTATTTCACTGGAGAACTAGATGGGGCCCAGCTATCACCACTGACCACCCTGACAGGGAACACAACAGAGAGTCCCGGATGGAGCAGGAGAAAGGTGGGGTGCAGAACTCAAATTCTAGTAAAAAGACCAGACTTAATGGTCTGACTGAGACTGGAGGAACCCCAGAAAGCATGGCCCCCAGATTCTCTATCAGCCCAGAACTAAAACAATTTCTGAGGCCAACTTTTCAGACAAAGATTGGACTGGACTGTGGAACATAAAATGATACTCGTGAAGAGTGTGCTTCTTAGCTCAAGTAGATACATGAGAATAAATGGGTAACTTCTGTTCAGCGGTGAGATGAGAAGGCAGAGAGGGTCAGGAGCTGGCTGAATGGACATGGGGAATCGGGTGGAAAGGAGGAGTGTTTTGTCACAGTATAGGGAGAGCAATTAGGGACACATAACAATGTATGTATAAATTTCTGTATAAGAGACTAACTTGAAATGTAAACTTTCACTTAAACTACAACAATAAACAAACAAACAAACAAAAACTATGTCATTGGAAAGACAGTGTAACAGCAAGATTAAAACAATATGCAAGAGATAGTAACAGTGCCCCCTTAGCACCTTTACATTATGACTATTTTGGGGACAGCTTGCATTCCAACATACGTCTTAAAAACGAAACCAAAGGGCAGTTATGATTGTAGCATCCACAGTGAGGGTGCAGGCAGTCCCCCTTTAGCAAGCAGCTTTCTGAGAGCATTGTTGAGGAAAGGGTGGACACCGCCCGCAGCCAGCCCATGGCCTGCCGCTTTCTGTTTCGGTCGGGGCCCAGGGGATCCCCCACGTGTCAGCATCCCGGGGCAGGTCGGGGCCCCAGGACCACCGTGGCACTGGCCTGCGCTTGGCTCAGCATTTCCCTGGGTGCCTTCTGGCCTAGAGTACTGGGCCCTCACGAGGCTTTGAGAAAAGACGGCCCACGGCCAGGGAAGTGTGGGACAGCAGCACCAGATCGCCCCTGAGATTCTCAGAGGACGCAGGGTCTGAGGCGTCCCCAGGGAGCACAGCAGGTGCCACGCTTGGCTGCTAGAGAATGTGAGTGAATGAAGGCTGGGTGAATGAATACCCTGGGTTTCCACTACTTTGTTTCATGGGGCAGACTTTCTTTTTTATTGTGAAAAATCTCAAACAGACACAAAAGTAAGGCGAATGATACAATGAATATACCCATCACCCAGATTCAACAAAGAAAAGAGTTTGCCACCCTTCTTTCATCTGTCCTTTTCTATCTTTCTTTCTTTTTCCTGTTATTCTTTAAAGCAGATCCCAGACTTCTCGGGATTGTACCCTTTCATACTGCAGTTTGCCTCTCAAAAAATACGGTCGTTTTGGGACATAACTGCAATGCATTACAACACCTAACCAAACGAGCAGTAATTCCTAAGTACTATCCAATACCCGGTTCATGCTTAAATCCCCCCGCTGTTTCAGAAATGTTCTTTGACAGGCGATTCGTTTGACTCACACGTGGTCGTCATGTCTCTCTGGCCTCTTTTGAACCTTTATCACAGAAAATTTCAAACATCTATGAAATTGCCCTGAGTTACTCTTCAAACTTTGAATCAAAACTATTCCCTGAAGTCACCTTTAAACTAAGTAACAGGTTAGCTCAAAGAGTAAAGATCGTCACCCTTGAGTATTACGTTCTTTTAAAACATTATCTATCTAAGACCAAATGGACAGCAGCTATTCTAAAGCATAGGTTTGCGGGCAGGGAGCTTATTAAGTCAATGAGAGGGGAACGAGAACAAAATGACGAGAATGTTGACACAATGGGAAGAATATAACCAATCACTGATCATTATGTCTAAAAATTGGAATGCGAGCAGGTTTTGTATATTTTCATCAAAAATAAAATATAATATTAATATTTTAAAAAATCTCTGAAAGTCGAGACAGTCATGTAATGAATTCCCAGGTACCCATCCCTGAGCTCCAATAATTATCAACTAATCACCACTTAAATTTATTTTAACTTTTCATCTTAAAGTAATTTCAGACTTAGAAAAAAGTTGTAAAAATAGTACAAAGAATTTCCATATGCCAAGCCTCCTCAAATGTTACCTTGCACAATAATGATAGAACGATGACCCAAATCAGGAAAATAACATTGATATAATGCTATTAACTAATCTAGAGACTTTATTCAAAAGTCATTCGTCATCGAACTCATGTCTTTTTTTGGACAGGATCATACGTTGTGTTAGTGGTCATGTGCCCTTAGTCCTTCACTCTGGACAGTTCCTCGGTCTTTTTTGAAGAGTACCAGCCAGTGATGGTGCAACCAGTTAAGCACTCAACTGCTAACCGAAAGGTTGGAAGTTCGAGTCTACCCAGAGTCTCCTCAGAAGAAAGGCCTAGTGATCTCCTGCCAAAAAATCAGCTGTTGAAATGCTATGGAGCAGTTCTACTCAGACACACATGGGGTTACCATGAGTCAGAGTTGATGGTTAGTGGTTACTGGCCAGTTCTTTTTTAGCATGTCCCTCAGTTTTTTTTTCCTGGTGTTTCCACATGATTTAATTCAGGTTATGCATTTTTAACCAGAATTTCACAAAACTGATGCCATGCCCCTCTCACGTGATGTTATTTTGTCCCATTACTGGTGACGTAACTTTGATCACCGGTTGACCTGGAGTGGCCAGGTTTCTCCACTGTAATGTTACTATTTGTCCTTTTGTAATTAAGTATCTTGTGGGAGAGGACTTTGACACTATGTAAATATCCTCTTTCCCCTCCTACTGGTAGCCTCCCTTGATAACTCTTGCCTGAAACAAGAATTACTCTGGTGTTTGTCCCAGGATGACTTTCTGTTTCCATCATTCCTTTTATATTTGTTAATTGGAATTTTCTGTAAGGAAGAGCTTTCTATTTTCTCATTTACTTACGTATTTATGTCAACATGTTCTCATGGATATCTGTTACATTCTAGATTTATAATCCTTTACTGTCGTTAGTTTATTGCTCAAATTGTCCCATATTTGGCCATTGGGACCCCCTCCCAGTTTAATCACTGCTTGTTTAATCTCTACCTCCATTGACTCTTCTCCCTTAGATTATTTTGAATCAAATTCCAGAAATCATATCACTTCATCTGTAAATATTTTTATTTATCTCTAAAAGATAGGATTCTTTTTTTAAAAACACATAGTCACAATGCCATTATCACCTCTAACTAAAATGAACAATCATTCCTTAATATCATCAAATAGCCAGTTATTGTTCACATTTTCCTGATTGTCCTATAAATGTTTTGTGTTGTTTAATTTGTTTGAATTAGGATCCAAATACGGTTTTTGCACTGTGATTGGTCAATATGATTCTTAAGTACCTTTTAATTTAGATTTCTCTCCATCTCGGTTTTGTTTTCCCTCGCAACTTTTTGAAGAAGAAATTGGGTTGTTTGTCCTTAGCGTTCCCCATGGTATGGATTCCATCGATTGCACCTCAGGGATGCCCTTTACGTGCTCCTCTGGCCTCTATTTTCTGGATATTGGTAGTTAGATTGAGAAGCTTGGCCAGCTTTACGTCTAATCTTTTTGTGTAGGTGATGTGTTCTTCCATCAGGAGGCACAGAACGTCCTATTGTCTCTCCTTTTGTGATGTTAGCAGCTAATAGTGATCAGTACCTAACTCCATTAATTCACTGAGGGTCACAAAATGGTGATATTTGAATTCTATCATTCCTTCTTCATTTATTCTCTGGAATACTTCCATACATGACAACTTTTATCAACTGCTACCCTGAGGTACAGTTCTTATAGGACATTCCAGATAATGCCTTTACTTTCCCTGTATTAGTTTTCAAAGTAATGAGTTGATTCTTTTGCATCCTCTCAAGGTGATGAATGAGACTTACAGGCGCAGCTGATGGATTCAAACTGCTGACCTTTTGATTAGCAGGCATACCTCTTAACCACTGTGCCACCAGGGCTCCCTTAAATACATAGATCATTATAAATCAATGGATTTAAACAGATTTGATGTGTTTCAATCCATTGCAGTTATTATTTTATGGATGCTCAAATCATTTTGTCTTTGACCAGTGTGAGCCTCTTCGAGTTGGTGTCTGAGTGCTTTAGATGAGATCGGGTCTTTCTGATGTGACCCTGGTAGCCTTTGAGGGTGTCTTTACTCTGGTATAACAGAATGTTCTGGACCTGCCTTGTACATTTCCTGCCCTAGGCCTGGAATCAGCCATCCTTCCAAGGAGCCATGCTTACTTTTAGTGGAAAATAATATTTAGAAACCATAATCAAAATGTTGATGGTGC